AAGTGGTTGCCATGCATCATTTATCATTAAAATGGCATCACGGATCATCTTTGTTTTCATTTTCCAAAAATCATTTTTCCATTGGTTATAATGCAGATGTCGTTTTTGGGGGAAGGAAAACTAGAGGGATATTCGTAAGGTCACTAATTGTGGGATGGGAAGGACAATTATCAACTAATAGCAATATCCAATTAATAAAAATTTCAGATGTCATCCATGGCCGGCGATTACTATAGTAGCCAACAGGAACATTTTTAAAGCATCTAAGTTGCTTTGATTTTCCAGTAACCAATAATCTTTTTTACGTGTACCACTCTTATTGGCTACAACAAGTACAGTTATCCTTTCCTTGGACAGTTTCCCTCCAGTGCATTTTTCAACTATAAATTAAAATTTCAATAATCACATAACTTCAAAATGATTTTCCTTCCCACCTTTAAATTTTAATGTAGAACAGTCCAGTTTCGTCGACATTAAAAATATCCTCATCATTGAAATTCTTACCTAGTGTAGGCCAAACCTTTGTAAGCCACTCGCTTACATCGCTTTTTTGTACAGAAAAAGATTCTCCACTGACTGTACCGCCGACGATATTATCCTGACCTTAAAGCGGCTTATCCAACTAGCAGAACAATTACAATTTTAAATTGTTTAGCGAAAAAAATAGCTTTTTTCTGAAGCAGTGGACCACTTAATGGGACAATGCTGTAACAATGCTTTATCGACTTGATCTTGAGTTGACACTCTGACGCGTTCTGGCTTTAAGAAATTACTATTATATAAAGCTTAAATTATTTCTTTGTTTTTTTGTATTGTTGCAATTGTTGTGTGGCTCACGCAGAATTCTTTTGCCAGAGTAACCTTGCGCTCACCGGCTTCCAAGCGCCGAATAATTTGAATTTTTTCTTTGACGGAGAAGCACTTTCCTTTAAAAACATTTGGGCCCAATGCACAAATGTCGAGCTTAAACTGAATGAGCTTATCAAGTGCATTTACGCTTAAAGTTTTATCGGAAAAAAGCAGAAAAAACTATAAATATAACGGGACATCTCATGGAATATAGGTATGAGGTCTGCACACGCACGCTGTAAACATTTTTGTGACGTCGGTCACTATAGATAAATACATTTCTAACAGGGTCGCTTAATGCATAAATTTGTTGGCATTATTTAGCTGTTTTTTTTTTTTTGGCACGTCGCAATATCCGGTTGAATTATGAAAAATCTCGTCGGTATAAGCGGTTTGTCGGTAAAAGCGGAGACGTACTAACCGGAGGTCCTTTCATATAACTTTGTATGGAGACCAAACAAGCCATCGAGTTTCCGTCGCAATAACCAGATTGACGCTATAAGCGGAGTCGTTATAACCGGACATGTACTACATTTACGGAAAAAAGATAGAGGTCATCACCGATTGTAATTCGTTGAAGACGTCGTTAGAGAAATGAGAGCTTATACCACGGATCGCATGATGGTGGTTGAAAATACAAGAGATTGACGTGGAGATTATTCATCGAGCTGGAACACAGATTAACCATGTTGACGCACTAAGTCACGCTCCACACGAAAAAACAATAGAAACGGATACAGCATGCCTTAAAGTACCCAAAGCCATAATAGACGATGCTGATTGGTTATTTTCGATTCAAGTGGAGGATGGGAAAATTCAGAAGATTGTCGCTGACATGAAATTGGCAAAGAAGTCAGAGAGCGACGAATATGTGATCAAAAGCGATCGTCTATATAGCAAATACGAGTGGGCTGTTCCAAGACAGCTGCGATCTACAAAAAAACCCTACAAATGACCATTTCACAATCGTAGGATGCGTTTTGTAAAGAGCTCATAAAAGAGATCCCATTGTTCGGAATCACCAAAGAAAGTGGGTATCTGAATTTTAGGCAGGTTTGTTAACTGCTCTGCTTTAACAACTGTCAACATTTCAGCTTTTTTATCTGTTTCACTAAGTCGACTATTTATGGCAGTTAAAATAATTCACTAATTTCTTCCTCAAATACCGAACTTTCAAAATAAGTATTAAACTGTTCATTCAGGTTATACATATGTAATATATGTAATATTTTGTTGCAAAGAAATTCTATCTTCTTCTTCCTTGTTTTTTGGAAAGCTGGACTTTTATCTATCAGTTTTGACGTCGCTACTTGGCCAACATTACTAGGAATGCCTGCTCTGCTCTTGAAGCGTTGTCACTCGTTTTTTGTGACATAACCTCTGTCGCTTGAATACCTATTTTCTCAGGGTTTGATTAAGGGACTGGGTGCTCTATAAACTAATTTAAATTTTCTCAAGTTTCATTTTAATTTGTGTTAGCGCCATCATTATAACACCATACTGCTTAGAGTAAAAATATTCACGATCTTTAACACATTGCTATGATTAGCAATGATATATTTTTGAAGCTCCTATAATTAGAAAATTACTTTTCCCTATTTCCAAAATAATTTCGGGCTGCTTTTTAAGGACTGCTATAGTTTTTTCGACATCGTAATGAATGTATACGATTTTTGGATTTTAGGGATTTTTATAATGTTCAAATATATACGATGTTTTTATATACGATGGACTTGATTGTACAAGTTTGCAAAAGTTTTGTCTATATAACTATAGTTTAAAAAAATGTATGTATTTATAATAAAATAAAAAGAAATTTTAAAAAATGGTCAGATTATCTTTTTGAGTCTTTTTAATAATGATGGCGATGCGTCGTTGTCGATGTTTGACAGGCTCCTCGGGATGTTTCTTCCTTTTTTCCATTGACGTCGATGTCAAAAAGGATTTTTTATTTTTTTTTTTTTGCGCACGTTTTATCTTTTTAGTCCAATCAGTTCAGGCATTTACTTGTCACTCTTTTTTGGCCTTTTATTTTTAGTTATGCTCTTATGTAATTTTTTAGGCACTTTTTTATGCACTTCTTATTTTATTTTTGTATGCACTTTTTATTTTATTTATTTTATGCTCTTGTGGCATTTATCGGGAACTTTTTATATGCACTTACTGATGTACGGCCTTAAGCACGCCTTACCATAATTTATAAGGGTAACCAAGCAGCCTTTAGCTTATAGCCTTTAAGAAATATAAGAATCATGTTAAACTCCGCTCAAGGCGGTTCTTCTTATATTATAAAACATTAATGATTCTATATACCCTGTTCCTTACCATAGAGGGGGAAAGTGAGGAGTTTTGTCAAAGTTAAATTTCTTCGAAGGCCCGAAGGACCAAAATGTTAAGAGGCTGCAAATAAAGCAAACGGGTACATTTGTTGAGGTGATATAGCAAACTGAATTTTATTTCTTTAAGTCCTAGCTTAGGTGGCCAACACAGTCTAATCTTATCTCTAACTAGACCAAGGCAGTGGCTATATGTTCCATACAAATTGCAAAAAATATAAATTGCGGAATTTTCAACTGCTCTATTTGGAAGTTGAAGCGTTGTTTATTTTTTGGATATAGGCAGACAAATGTTTGACAATACAGCGGTTCAATCGTGAACGCCTTGGGCGGAGTTTAACCTGATGTGCTTGAATATATTTACTGTGAAGTTATAAAATATCTTCATGTTCATTATTCTCGTTGCTTGGTACAGGCCTTTAGTTTTACCTAATAATGTTCCACACCACTTCGATCCCGCACGAATGGTAAAACCTTTTCCAAACTCTTCCTATTTGCTCTGCTTATAACGATACATTTTGACTCGCAAATTCCCGTTTGGTTGCACTGTGCTTGGTAGTTTAAGTCAGGCGGGCGATTCATTGTTGCGGTCTCAGGTTTCGGCCATAAGTGGTTCAATTTTGTAACGCTTCTGTACAGAATTTGTTTTTGCTTTCTTCTGCAGATTTGTTTTGATTCTTACTTGTTTTTAAGGAGAACGTTTATGCAATCACTTGGGTTGCGATTCGTAAACAACATCTACGTTATTTTTATATTATTTTGCAAAAAGAAATCAAAATATTTTTAAATTTCACCTATTGCAATTGTTGACCACTGTTTTTTTTATTGCCTCAACTTCCTTCTTTGTATACACGCCTTGACAAAAGCCCCCAAATGTTTTCGATAATGTTGATGTCAGGGGAGTAAGGCTGCCACTCGAGCAATTTGACATTTTGATCCTTAATCCACTGTTTACAGCCCGAGCGGTATGGATGGGAGCGTTGTCATGTTGGAACGTCCATTGAATATGACCATAAATCTCCGAAATCGGGAGAAAAGCCTTTGAAGTACAGTCATTTTAGGCATTTGCGTTCATCTTCGAGGTGACAAACTAAATCTCACATGTTCAAAGAAATAAAAAATGGCTCGCCAAACCATTACTCCACCTGAACAACTCTGATGTCAACTTAATAAGCATTCTTCCTTTCTATCGGGGACAAAGTAATTATAACCATCCGGTCGATCAAGGTTGAACTTTTCCTCTTTTCGTCGGATAAGACAACTGCCTCCCACTCCGTGTTCCACGTCATGTGTTCCCAGCAAATCGAAGTCTTTTTTTTCGAGCATCATTAAGAGGTTGTGGCTCGTAGAGTAAAAGGGTATACTAGATTCGTTGAAAAGTATGTGTTTGGCAGAAGGTTATGTTTCCGAACATATAATTATACACAGCTGCGAAAATTGCCCAATCAAGGTTTGTATAAGTGCCCTACGTATTATACATTTTAGGGTTTAAAATTAGCTGAAATACCTTTTTAGAAAAGAAAACCATTAACTTATTAGAAAATACAAATTCTTAACTTAATTAAGGAACTTTATTAGGAACGAAGAAGGCAACTTTTCAGCGAATCAGAATACCCTCTTAGTCTACGAGTAACGGCTTTTTTGGTATTCCGATAAAGAAAAGAATTAAATTTATTTTCAAAATTGTGGGCGTGGCAGTCTTTTGAGGAAATTGAAAGAAATTTGAGTGATAAATTTGATGAGATTTCAAATTCATAGCCACTCAACCTTTGATGTACGAGCATATGTATGTATGTATGTATATGTATGTACATGCATATGTATGTATGTATATTTATTCATGTGACCACATTTCACATGTGGTGCTGCTAAACTGCATACAAATGCGCATACTTAAAAATAAAGTGCAGAATAAAGTTGCAACGGCTCTTTAATGAAATCAACCCACCTGCTGCAGTTCGAGATTCCTTGGAAAATTACACACTAGAGATTAACGTATTACAGGTTTGTATGAACGAGTATGTACATAACCGAGGCTTATTATCATAAGTAAATTGCTCCTCGCGTTTCTGTTGTTCCAGAAACTCCGTTGTTATTATAAAAACAGGCAACGCCAAGGCAAATAACATAAGCCACAGCAAATTTAAATACACATGTCGCTGGCATTGCAGTTGTAATTCCTGCTGCGGTTGTTGTTGTAGCCACCACCGCTGCTGTTGGGTATTTATGTGGCCTTATGCGGCAGTTGTCGTTGTTCCGCCGTTCTGGCGGTGCTGCTCGGCGGAAATTGTATTGCGGCCAATATGGTAAATTGCCTTGAATCTACCTTAAAACCATATTTCAGCACTAGATTACAGAAACAGGCAGCAGCCGGAGCGGCAGCGGTGGGAGGGGCGCTGCGCCGAAAGCTACAATGCGGTACGCCATTACACCAAAATACTATCATAAAATTTCGCGCAAGCGTGTGTCTCGGCATTTTAACCGAAACGGGTTTTGAGTCATGCCACCACTTGCCACTCCTGCTCCTGCGAACAAGCCGCACACGCCCAGCAACGCATCCTTGCAGTCGAGAACAGTACATAAAGGGCACACATGCAGCCAGGATTGTTACCGTTGATGTTGTTAGGGGCTGCGGTTGCGCTTAAATGCGCCATTAAAGCCACGGTCAGCAAGAACAATGCCAGAAATCTGTGTTAGGGAAAAAGGAGAACAGATTTGGGCATAGGAGGAACCTGGCAAAAAGGTGATGCCCACACAGTGCGGTTTTATAAATCAAGTCCAAGGTACCTGTCAGGAAGCGCCGTTTTTATGCTAACTGGAAATCATTCATGGAACAAAGAACACAGGAATATTGTGATAAACAAATTCCTCATTAGCATGTTTCCACTTCGCCCGTCCACGCCCAGCACATATTCATTCCGAGCTGGACAGAATCTCCAGTTTAACTCTTTTGTTGCCATCATTTTATATCCGTCACTCGTAGAGTAAAAGGGTATACTGGATTCGTTGAAAAGTATGTAACAGGTAGAGGGAAACGCTCACAAGCCGCCCACAGTAACGGGTATCTTATAGTCGAGGAACCGACTATAGCATTCTCTGCTCCTTTATTTTGGCATTGTAATTCGTTTACTTTTTTGTCATCATCAGAGCTGCATTTTTGCATAGAAAATTGAGCTTTTGCCAAACTAACGATGAACTAAAGTATGCAAATTTATTTACCATTTCTATGCACACAACGAAGAAAGAAACGCAAAGGGGGCTAAAGCCAAACAAATGTATGCAATAGAGAGTACATAAACAGTCATCGGGATCATCGGGTCTCCGGCCCAGAACAGTGTGCGTTAAAATTGCACGTCCTTTACTGATTCTGCTGTATTCATTTCTTCTGCCTGACAGTTTATTTATTAAAATTTAATGGTGTTACTTATACCTGTCTTGTAATATGGCCGGCACGTCTCTCTTGGAGAATAGGATCTGTCTCTTACAAAAACTCAATGCAATGCTTTTTAAGTTATCAGTGGTGCCAAAAAATAATAAATTAAAAAGTAATCCTAATTTGAATTCCTTTCCGTTTCAATCTAGCCGTTTCCTCCTGTCCTCTTGTCTGCCCATTTGCCCCTGTAACTTTTGAGATATCACAGCTCAAATTTGGCATTATGCATACAGATTCTAGTGTGGCCCACGCAGCGCAAGTTTTTACGCGATACCCGGGTAAACTAGATTTGCAGGAAAGTTGTAAAAAAATATAAGCGTTTACAAAAAGTATGGGCGTCTCGGCTTTTTCTCTAGAAAACATTTTAATTTTTGGGCTAAGTTACATTTTAAGTTAAGGGTATTAACTTTTTAGAGGTCACCCGACTTACATTTCAGAAAATAATTTCTGAATAAATTCTGAATATAGCCTAGGAAAAAACAAGTGACGAAGCACTTTTAACATACAATAGTTCTGATACAAACATTTGTAGCGATACATGATTTATAGATATACTATATACGATTTGCTGATTGGTTAAGCTTTTGCAAAATATTTACTGTTTTTCATTTATTAAATTATTCCTTAACCCTAAAAAATCGTTTAGATACGCTTATACAAAATATATTTCTGAACATATCCTAGTTGTTCTAAATCTGGTGATAACGGAGATGTGTTATATTTGTTTGAAACCTTAGGGAACTTTAAAATTATAATAAAATTGGTATACAAATATATTTTTTGTGCACCCAATTCTTAAAACAGTTCATTCGTTCATTAAGTAAGTTCGTTGAGCTTTTGATGTACCACTCGTTTAGATCGGGCAACCACAGCAGATTTTCGTCTCTTCGTTATCACTACTGTATATCACAGTAGTCGCTTTCGCAAACTCTCCAAAAGCGCTTCGTCACTACGCCGACTGCCCTCCACTTTAATGGTTTTTTGTTTTTTTTGGAGCACATCTTTTTTATGATGACAAAGAACAAATGTTGATTTAAGAACAATTACTTTTATTAAAAGAAAAACTTGAATTGAGAGAAATAAGAAATTTGTATGGCGAATTCTTTACTCTAAGGGTTACATAAACAAAAAACTTGACTTTCGGATCTGCCGAAACTGGTTGCTTCGAAAGGACTGCTCCTTCTGGGAACACATTTTCCGCAGTCATTGTATCCGAATCGGAAGGCAAGGCGAATCTTCCAGAAATCTGCCACAATTCTTGTGCACATTTCATATTGTCAGCACGTAAGGGCGGACCACGGCGAGGGCGGGAAGGACGAAGGGGCGTGGCCATAGGCGTCAAAGTCCCGCACACCCACACAGCCACACACATACGCTTAACACAGATGTGTGCATGCGGTTGTTTGCTTGTGCTGCTGGGCGCGCACATGCATATGAAAACCGCTTTCGTTTCCGGAGCAAGAACGACTTGAAAATGGCGCACGGCATGGAGTCGCCCGCCATTGTTGCCACCGTGCTGACTGTTGTTGCTGCCGCCATCAGATAGATAGGTGCAAAAAAGTAGCAACTCCAGCTTAACAACCTCGAGGAAGGGGATGACAATCTGGATGGCAGACAGGTGAAAGGGGTTGGCGGGAGAGTTGGCACCGAGAGTTGACAACAGGATATACAACCAAAAAAGAAAGTGAAATGGATGTGGAAATGGAAAATACAAAATGCAAGCAATACAGGTACAGGTTCGTGCGAGCTGGGAAATAAACAGGGGCGCATGATTTTTATTTGCATTTGCCTCTGAATTCCCTCGACGCCTGTCGCCTGTCGCCTGCTGTCGTTGTTGTTTGGGTGTCGCCCACTTTTTTGATGCCATCATGCAGGTAAAGTAAATTATGCGACGTGCAAAATCAATAAATCAACACGTTTATTGCTGTAAACGTATTTGGGTCCCTGGGCGGAAGGGGTGGATTTGTGCGCTGAGTAACTGCAGCTGCAGCTGCAGCTTTTCGCAAGAAGCACAAGCCGCGCAGCCGGATCGTCTGCTGATGCGTTTATGGCCACGAATTAAATTTATACAAAATGCTCGCAGACACGGCTTGAAACAGGCTCACACACTGCCGGGATATACACGCCAATGAATTGCAAATCCGGGCCAAGCATTTTCCTCGCTTGTTGCAGTTGCTGCTGCAGTGTCTACGCAACAGCTGCAATTCATTATAAATGTGATTTCCACGCGAGCAGCAAAGGGCGTGGAAAAGTTGCTAAAATTTTCCGCGCTATTTTCGCGCTCGTTGTCTGTGCTGTGTGTGCCAAGCAATCCGGAGCCACATTTAACACAACGCAGCGCAGACCCGAACCAAGGGAGAACAAGTTTTCCCATTTTCACGGGCCGCAGTGTGTGCTCGGCATACCTTTGGCTTGCTGTGGCACACAGCACATCTTGAGTGCTTTATTGTTATGTTTTAAAATTCAATGAATTCTAAAATTGTACCACCCAGCGTCCCAGGTATCTGGTTGTCTGGTTGCCAGCGACAACGACAACGACAACGACAACTACAGGGATAGCGACAAGTCGACAGGACTTGCAGCCCGGACATTAACAATAGCAAAGTGTTTTCTTTCCAAAGGCGCTTGGCTACGATCTGACGTTCTTATCTTTGCCAGCCATATGGGCAAAGGTAGCACAGAGCCCGAAACAAGGTCAAAGGCCGTCGACGGGCGGCAGGAGCCAGCTGGACAGAGACAAATGGATGCAGTGAGAGTGGAATTCAAATGAAAATGCAAATGCAAATGCGAATTCAAACCAAACGGTGCCAGAGACAACACTGATTAAAGGCAGCCGAGCATAAAGAATAATGTATTAAATACACTTTACATATTGCAAAACTGTAGAGCTGTGACGCATAATAAAGGGGCAAACGAATTTCGAGCCGCACGTGCTGCTGGTCTTCATCCATATCAGTCCTTTTTGCAATAATAATTTGAATTGTTGTCAGTACAGTGACTAGAATTGCACAATTCATTCGTGGGAATAAGAGTATATTGGTATGCAGCAGAAAGGGCCTGCGGTTGGCTTTTTGGCTTCCAAATAGGACAGCAATTTTAATCTGAAAATAAAACGAAATAGCCTTAACTGCTATACCACACTCCTTGAAAAGTACGTAAGTGGTAGGAGGAAGCGCTTCCGACCGAATCCAGATGATAGGCATCTCTAGCAGAGTCTACATAAGGTCAATAGGAACGTCAAGATCGCGCGAAGGCACAGAAGGTTGGCATTAAGAATCCGAATTCCATCCACCGCTCTGGCGCTAACAATCCGACCAGAACTGTAGTTTCAAGAAATGTTGCAATTTTTGGCTCCTTTTTCTTTTAGCGTTGCCAATTTCCGGGAATCTCTAGGCTAGTTTGGTGCGGTAGTTATCTTTTCTGTTTGAATACCTCATTTTTTACGGGTGTAACGGAGATCTTCTCTGTGAATGTTGTTGTTTGGAGACGCAGTCATAGTTCTCTGCATTTTAGGCCGTAAGTCCATGCTGGCTTAAAAGTAGACTTGTAAACCGGGAAGCGATCGTTTAAAAGTCATGGAAGGCTATGGGAAATGTTGTTGAGCTTAAGTACCTTTAGCGTGTCGAATACTCTACAGTCGTTAACGGTCGCTGACGCCGTACAAACAAAATGTCAGTTCCACATGGGCAAACACAATTAGGGATTGTTTGGACAGGCTTGTTGCCTTTTGTCCAGAGATCGCCGAGTTGACTTGGAGTGCCTTAACTTAGGATGCTATATCGCTCTCGCAGATTAATCTTCTGGGAAAAAGAGACCGCACGTTGTAGCAAAATAAAGAGTTTAACTACTTAGAACTTAATTAAACGAGTTTTAGCTCGCGGACTGCATTCGATAGACGAATGGAGGTTACCTATATTTACTTTCACCTATTGATAAAATGTATTATGAAAGATTTACAAGGATTTTGACGGCTTGACCCGCTAGATGAGAGCACAATTTATTTGAATTTTATTAGTGATTTAGAATTAGAGCCAGGCTCCTCCCAGTCCCATTTAGGTGTAAAAGTGTCGAGGCCGCCATATACTTTGAAGAAGAAAAATCATTTGGTGATACATGTGTACGTAGGATCAACCTATGTCGATCCGAGCGCAAAGATACTCTTAGATAAAATATAGATTCGTTGAAAACTATGTAACATATATGTTTTTGAAAAGAATCAATAGCAGAGTATATCTGGCCATGTCCGTCTGTCTGTCCGTCCGTATGAGAGCCGAGCTCTCAGGAGAAATATCTAGTCTAGAAAGCTAGAAAGTTTAGAATAGATATGCAGATTCCAGAGAGATTGATGCGAAACTTTATTTACTGATGTTGTCTGATTGCATGGGAACTTGCCAATAGCGTTCTCGTTTGTTTGTGCATATGGATGTACATATAATGTACATATATTATTATTAGCCATGGTATAGCTTTGGTGAGCTCCGTCACCCCAAAAAAATCCGAAGTAAAGTAAGGCTGTGAAGTAATTTTTAAAACCTATTTGTTAATTTGCCTTACTGTCTTTTAAAAGATTAAGACTAACACCTCTTAACGAGGTGAGCTAAATGAGACGATGGCAACTTCAAATGTCTGATATAAAATTTGCTAAGCATTTATTAAAAAAAAAAAACAGAGACTGTCAGATACCCGTTACTCACCTACTGGAGGCGCGAACGAGACATTTCAACATGTTCTGGAATATCGGTAGAAATAGGGAAAAAATAATAATATGACAAAAACTTGAAAAATTATTCAAAAGTGTGGGCGTAACCGTTTCGGGCGGTTTGTGGCGTAAGAGTAAACGTGGCAAAACGTTGGGATATCGATAGAAATTTACAAGACTAATAAAAATATGAGTGGGTGTCGATATATTTTGAAAATATAGCAGACACTAGAATAATTATTATACTAAATCTGTATTATAATTTTAATATAATAATTATTATTCTATAATTATATCTAATAATTATTATTCTATCCAAATCGACTCGGCTAGTGGTCCTTATCAAGAATACTTATGTATACTCTATATGGTCGGAACGGCCTTAAAAATGTAATAATAAGTAACTCTGTTTGGGATATTCCCGTATGTCGATGATGATTCTTCGGACAAGGCTTTTTGCACTTCTGACATTTTACATTATTACAATTTTCATATTACACTGCCTTAACCGCAATTAATTAATTAATCAATTAAGAATAATTATTCTGGTGTCTTTGGATAAACCGCAATGTGCCCACATTGAGAAAGAACGTTTTTTTCCGTTCTCAAATTTTCTTGGCGTAAGGGAAATTAAAGGATTATAAGGAATAATCAACACTTTAGACAGTTATGGTCCAATTCATTCATATATGCATGTATGTAAATGTTATAGCAACCGGGGCTGTAAGTCGTGCACTATTATCTTTTCATCGCGGATGGGAATTTTGTCCATTTTCCAGGAAGAAAAAAACATTACTCGATGCAAGCGATAAACATGAAAACGCTTCACAAAAGAAAGCGATGCATAAATTTCCCACGCTCGTGGGCAGGACACCAACACGCCAGCTGCAGCAGAGGACTCTGATCCGGTAAAGGACACGAGACGACCTGTAATTATGGAGTTGGGCGAGCAACAGCTGCAAACGGATTGGTTCCGGCGCCTGCGCTCCTCCAATATTAATTAAGCGCTAAAGGGGAATCCCGAAAAAGTGGACGGGATTCGGGTGCCAGCGCCAGCACTCACTAAACTTGACATTGACTTATTGTACCCGGAGGCTGGCCAACTGAGCCTTAGCCCTTGTCGGACCCAAGGCAGCGCCGGTCCATGTCAGCAAATTGAAGCCGGAGCACGAGACGTAGCCAAAACCGGACATATTGTGTAGGCCACAGGCCGAATGTCTCTTTCATGGCTGTTAATTTCCAGCTATTGTTCGGCCAGCCTCCCATGCCTGGGCCCCGGCCCCAATTGAAAGCGTTGGGCATAAATTTAATTTTAAGCAATCACTGTGCCTGACGGCACTTGATGTCCACGTTGTTGTTACACGCACACATCAATACAAAGTCCCCGGGCCGGACCATATAACGTCATCGAGATCGCTCCACCCTCCGGCTGTTCACTGTTGCAGTGGCCACGCAAGCAGGCTGAATTATAATTTGGAAATGGAACGCAAACTCAGTGTGCATTAAAGCGGAGTTTAAAACTTGGGCGTTTCAAAAAGGACGGACCAAATGAACACAAATAACAAGTGCGCAAAGGACACTCTTCCAAAAATGTTTTGAATGGGACCATTACTTAAACAAAGTTACCAAAGTTACCAAACTTGCCACTTTTCAAAAATGTTTTAATATTTTCTCATTACACCCGTTGCTCGTAGAGTAACAGGCAGAAGGAAGCGTTTCCGACCATATAAAGAATATATGTTCTTTATCCATGTTCAGGATCCATAGCCGAGTCGATCTGGCCATGTCCGTCTGTCCGTCCGTCTGTCTGTCCGTATGAGCGCCTCGATCTCAGGAACTGCAAAAGCTACAATGTTGAGATTAGGCATCCAGCTTCCAGACAAAGACATTCGAATTCTAATGTCTTTGTTCCAGAGACATGAAGGCAGTTTGTATAAGTCTTTTTTTTTTTTTTTTTTTTTTTTATTTACAATCTGTCGTAAGCAAGTATGACAATAAGTAAATTTTATAATTAATCTTAAATTAACAGAAGCAGTATTTATCCATTAAGCCCTACTACATAGTTTATGCATAACATGTTTTAATACTTAATGCCTGTCAGGGAAACTTAAGACTAAGTTATTTTCATGGGTTCTTAGTCTGTCTATATATTTTTTACTATGTTTTGCTATTTCTTCTTTAACATTTTATATCTCAAATGCAAGCATCCATAAAGTATTAGTCTTGTAAAGTTCTATTGATTTGCCAAAAAACGTTTTGCCACGTCCAATGCAGCGCCCACAAGCCACCCAAACCCGTTACGCCCACACTTTTGAAAAATGTTTAATTTTTAGCTGAGGAACGGATATCTGATAGTCGAAATTTCTATCGATGACAGAAAATTGTTGAAAGTTCTCGCTCGCACTTGCACTCGAGGAACTCGAATATACCGATATGTCTTGTTTTTGCCTCTATTTTTATGACTTTCTTTATCGGATGTGACAACGAGTTCAAGGCAGGAACTTCGGTCATGAAGGTCAACCGCAGGCAGGATTCTTTTTGGCATGTACTACGCCACTCCTTGGTGCTATTGTCGTAGTTGTCACAGCAGTTCATAAAGCTCGCGACAGCTGCAAGTGACTTGTGGATGCTCCTCTGGGGAAGGAGGAATCGCGAGGAACGGGATGGAGTGCTGCACTTCATTATTTTGCTCATTTCCTTTTAACGACATTATCAATGGCTATTTTACGCCATTGTTTCGCATTGCATAGTCTATTGTCCCAGCTGGGATGTCATTTTATTTGATTTTCAATTACGTTTAATTAATTAAGTGTAAATGCGTTGACACACCCGTTCACACAGAACCGGCACACACGGCGATTGGGGTCCTGAACTGAAACTCAATGTGACAAATGGTGTGTTAAAGAATTGTTTCATGTTTTGTGAACGCCAGCATGTCAACCCATTGAAGTCAAACGAGGCATCTCATTGCGCTTGAAAAACTATCAGGAATACCAGGAATAAATAATACGATTTCAGGTCTGTTTTGGGCATCACTTTCGAAAGTTGTATTCAAACTCGGTTTGAGTTCCTGTTCAGGTTAAATCGAAATAACTATTGCTATTTCTAATTTGATTTTTCTTTCAACAGATACAAATCATTAGGATACCAAATG